TAGTTACTGGTTACAAATACCAGGTGGCTCTTCCAAAAACAGTGGAATCACAAACCCAAAGATGTATTTATCATATCTATTTTAACACAGTTCTAACCTAGAGGTCCATAAGCAGTCAATCAAACTACTGGGCTTTCTAAGAAGCACTACTAATAAGAAGTGGCTAAAATACTCCTCCATCTATTCACAAGTATCTTGAAATCATGACATTATTTATATATTTATTATGTGTGTGTGCACATACGTAGGCATATATATACATATCTAACTATGCATCGTAAGTGCACTTGCTACTGCTTAGCATGACCACACTGAGCACGTGCTTCACTGAAGAGGGCTGTACCCTCACAGCCCTAATGAAATGGACAAGAGCTCCATGCACACACAATCACTTTGTAGAGAAATGTTTCCTTGAAATTTCTGTCACAGTCCATGGCAGCACTACGTGATACCAGAGTCCACCCTCAGGGAAAACAGCCAGAAGCAAGACTAAGTCACATCTATTTAATTCCCCAAAGAGAGTACATGAGGTGAAGCTGTACAGGCTCAGAGCCTGCCTCAATGAGCATTAAGAGAAAGCCCTTTTTTGAACAGCTAAACTAGATGTACACACCTGCAGGAGGTAAGCTTGCAGTACCTATTAAGTACCAGAATAAAACTAGATCCAAGTTATTCCTTTCACACTGAAAACAAGTGTGTGTGTTTCTTGTTTTTTTTTTTGTTGTTGTTGCTAGTGTTTGTTTCTTTTCTTTCAGGCTAAAAAGCCTTGTTCAGATAAACTGATGAAATAACACAATCTGCCTATAGCAGAAGGCCAAAAAAATTCCACTGCTTTCAAATGCTTCTGGTGCATGATACTCATCAGTAGGTCACTCCACATTGCAGGAATGAAGCAAAAATTCTAAGATAGTTATAAAACGTAAAACAGACACATAACTTCAGCTGGGGGCACCACAGTAAAGTTGACACAACACAGCTACAGTTCCAGTTAGGCCACTGCGCTTTCAGTAACGGCACGAACCTTTCAGGGACACCTGATGGTTCACACAGCAACTACTGTAAGAATGTCAAAGAAATAACTTGATGCATTGAATCTAGTCAAGTTCCTACTAGTCAAGACTACCTATTAGTGTAAATGCCTGTTTTTAGAAGCATGAACTGAGGCATAACCTATTCTGCCAAGCACAGCTCAAAAGTAACAGCAGTCCATAATAAACATCTTTGCTCATAGCACCCAGAAGTCACTAGGTAAGTTCTTCTGTGGTAGTTACTTTTTTTTTTTTTTTTTTTTAAAATGAGAAACAGAAGAATTAAGAGACCACTTGTTAATATATCTGCCTTTTTAGACAGGACAGAACTCACCATCTCTCTATAATAAACACGAGAGAAGAAATCCAGGAGCGTTTTGACTAATACACATGGCTCTGACACATGGAAAGATCTTCAATTGCCATCACAGTTATGTACTAGGCTGGGAAGCAAAAAAAAAAAAACAACAAAACAACCACTTCATGTGAAATCCAAAATTATTATTTGTTACTAATGACAACTGATTGTTATTGTCTCTTGTTTCACGTATTTAGGCATAAGCAGCTTTTATGTGCAGGCTAACAACTACTCCAGTGTTCACTTGGAAGAAATTTTAACAGCCCTCCCACAGCCTTTGCCATCCATTTGGGAGGCTGCCCAGGGGGCCACAAGAGCAGGGGAACCCGAATGAAACAGAACGGTTTGAGGGGCTCTCTCTCTGTGCTACAGTAGTTCCAACCTTCCTTGGTCATGAGCACCAGAATGCGCCTCAGAAGGCCGTGTACAAACTTTGCAACATACACATACAGCACAGCTCAGAGCTACAGAGAAGCAGGGGTTCTCCAGCTGTTCCTCCACAAGAGGGTACCCATTACCATTAGCCCCAGTGGAAGCCGGCTACAGAGGTCTCAAACAAAGACAGTTAAAGACAAAAAAAGTTAAAGACAGGGTAAAGGCAGACAGCAGAATAACCCAATAGTAGCCCCATTGTTGGCAAGTTGGATAGGCAAGAGTTGACAGCAGGTAAAGAACACAACCCATGCACGTAAGTTTGGGTGGAGCATAGGAAGCAGCACAGGGAACAGGCATTCATGACAGACCTCGGTATGCATTAATGTCTTTTTCTTTTGTAGAAGAGAAATTAACGCGTTACTGCCATATAAGACAGTAGCGTCAATCATTTCAAGGACAAAAATCAGCCAAAGTTATAAGAAGGTAAGAGTTCTATTGGATCCTTCACTATTCTCACCTTGGCTTCATTCGTAGACATAGGGATTTAATGAATACAGCCATTAACTCCTGTAACATCTACTCCTCTAAGTAAATGAACTTTAAAAAGCCACTATCCTTTAATTTGATTTTGGGCAAATCAGCACCAAGGAGCAGTCTCATCTGCAGCCACCTACCATCGAAAACTGGACTCCAGAACTGAGAGACCCAAGAAAAACAAACCGTCAACTTGCTTCATAGTTGTTTGTTTTCAGTGCTGTACTCACTCTGAACAACACCGAATTCGGGAGCAAACACCATTAACTACATCTCGAATAGCAGGCCACTCAGAAAGCAGGCCTTTCTAGGTGCTTCATCTGATCCCTTTTGTATTCCCCAAATCCTTTGTTCTAATGCCTTTCCTACACAACTTTATGTCTCAGCATTAGTACTGCCCTCACGATGAAGAAGTATGCACAGTAAGGCTCTTACAGAGCCAACCCACTGAAAAGGGCTTCCAAAATCTTGAGATGTTATTTTGTATGAACTTGGGACATGACAAAGGGGAGGGCAGCATAATTAAATCTGCATGCTAATGGGAGTTCCTGCCCTAGTATGGGCACCAAAGCAAGCAGGGATGCTTCACCTCTGCATCCACCCAAAACCCAACCCAACCAAGAAGTTATATGAGCAAATAGTAACACCAAGCTACAATACAGGGGTTCTCAATAACTCCAGAATCTTGTGTGTAAAACGCTCGCACCAAACTTATAACTCTTGTTTAAAGTGAAATAAAATAAATTCAACAAGTGAATATCTAAGTTGATATATTGAAATGGGCAACAGACAAAACAACTGGCTTTGCAACGGTGACTGGTCACTTCTCACTGCCACATACATCAAGATCCACCCTGTAGAAAAATCAGCCTCAAAACAGTGAGGTTTCTGTTGCTGCATCCTTAGATTCTTCCCTAAAGAAGAGACCTCATTGTTACATCAATTAGTATTCTTCCACCCCAGCAAAACGCAAGGAAAGGGGAAAAAAAAAAAAAGAAGCCATGAAAGGGTAATCTAGCCATTTCGCAGCTCTGCCTCCTTACTCCACCCAGTCTCTCCTCTGCTCAATGGCTGCACACAGCATCCATAAACACACTCAAATCAAAAGAAACACACAAAATAGAGAACCCTGAGAACAAGAAAGATTTGCAATACATCTATTAGAAATATTTTCTTTGTTTAGCTCCCTAGCATGATTTCTCTATTTAAGAAAATGACTCGAAGGACAGACAGCGTTGTGATAGCAGACCCTCCCTCTTCCAAAAACCAGCTGAATGCTGCACAGTCATTTATGAAGCGATCATCACTGAACATAGGCTCCTTAGCCCCCCACCTCCTAATACCGTATAAACAATACTGTCACACAAATACATCCGTAAAGGGGTCTCCACATAAAAAGAGAATTCAGCCAGGTCCATGCACCCAAACATTTATACTTAGAATAAAATAGTGCTTATTCAAGATTTTTTATACAGCGTCAGTAACCTTCCCCCATCCCTGCTTGGGGATTCATTGTGAATTGACCTGCAAGGACCAAGCCCTCTGCTGCAGCACTACTGGCAGGGAAACATTACCGGTGAGACTACGGCAAAGAAAGGGGAGGCAACGCTCCGCTACCGCTATTAAAGGTCAAGCCAAAATGCATCCACCTTAAAGAAAAAAAACCGTCAGAATTAAAAATCTCACCTCTCCACCCCAGAACGGAGTAACCCCGAACTTCATAAGGGAGGCACCACTCCCACCCAGAGCCAGCAGCAGCCCGCCGTGTAACCTCCCACCCGAACAAAAACTGGAAAGCAGCGATAAACCGAGCGACGGAGCGGAGCCGACCGCCAGCAAAAGGCTTCGGAGGAACCGCGCGCCTGCGGGCAGCGGAGCGACCCCGGGAAGGAGAGACCAGCCCTCCCCGCCCCGTTCTGCTGCGGCTGGCACCGAAGGGCTGAGCCTCCTCCTGCCCGCTCCGCCGCCGCAGGAAAACGGTGGGAGCGGAGGATTCCTACGGCAGCGCTCCAGCCTCGTTTTGTCCCCGTGCCGCAGCGGGCAGCGGCCGCCTCCCGGGCAGCGCCTGCTTCGCCCTCCGCAGGGCCGGAACGGGACGAAAGCCGTAGGGAACGACGGAGAGAGCGCTCCGCATCCCCCGGCAGGCACAGACACACGGACACACAGCCACACACACGCACCGGGCTCCTCGCCCGGCAGCGTCCGACCGCAACCCCGCCGCCCCCGATCCTGCCAAGTCACCGGGCGCAGCGGAGCGGCCTGCAGGCGGACACAGCGCCGGGCCCGCCACCCCGCTCCGCTCCCCCCGCCCCACCCGCGCCGCGGCCCTCCCGCCCCTCCCCGCGTTCCTGCTAAGTCACCGGCGGAGGGTAGCGCCGGGCCTGGCGGCGGAGAGCGGCGGGGCGGGAGGCGGGGAGGAAGCGGAGGAGCCGCGCCCGGCCCCGCACCCACCACGGGGAGCGGCCGCCGCCCGCAGCCCCCCGGCCCGCCGCCTCCCCCGGTCCCTCCTCACCGACGGGCGCGGCCGCCATTTTGAGAGCGAGCTGGAGAGAAGGAGGGAGGGAGGGGGCGGCGAGGGAGCGGAGGGCGGGGAGGAGGGGAGCGGCCGCCGGGCCTACACCGCTAGGGACGGCCTCCGCGGGGCGGCGGCGACGGGCGGGGGAAGGGAGGAAGAGAACGGAGGAGAGCCGCGGCCCCAGCCTTACCCGAGCCGCCGATGCTTCGCTGCACTCCTCGAGGCCGGCGCCGCCCGCCTCTCCCGTCCACGGGCGCGGCGGGGTGCGGGGGATCCCGGAAGCACTGGGCGCTGCTCCGCTCCGCGCTCTGTCAGCGGCGCCCCGGCCGCCAGGAGGGAGGGAGGGAGCGGCGCGGCCCGCCGGATCACTGCGCATGTGCGGGGCGGGGGCGGGGACGGCCGCCCGCCGCCATCTTGGAAAGCTGAGGTGCGGGGCGTGATTCCCGGCGTGCCCCGCGCCCACCGGCTCCCGGCGTGCCCCGCGCCCGGAACGGCTCCGGGTATTGCTGGCACGGCCCTAGTCTGGCCTCGCCCCATCCCGGCCCCCGGTGGGAGCTGTTGTTCCTCTGAGCGTTCGCTGTCGCGCCTCCCGCGCTCTGGCTGCCCGTCAGCCCGCCGGCCCCTCGCACCTTTCGCCATTGATACCGCAGATCTTCGTCTGTATCTGAACGAAGGGTAAAAACGTGTTAACGTTCAAAACGACGCCACGAATGTCAGTGAAGAGAGTGAGGCAGGGCGAGGAAGGGAAAGGCCTCGTGCAGAAGATTGTACATCGTGTGTAGCTGGGAGCGTGGCGCAGCAGGGCCGTGCTGAGGAGAGGCCTGCGCTGAGCCTGCTGCTGCCTTCTGTGGCTCTGCCACACTGTGCTGCGCAGGAGCAGGGCCATGGCATGTCCTGGCCTGTGTGGAATCTGCTCCTGAGACAGCGATGTTTTCAGTGAGTAGCTCTGCCCTGCGGGCCTGGAGTTCCAGGCTGGAAGGAAGCGTGTCGTCGGTGGCCTTCGCCTCCGTGTGAGAGCAGATCTGGCTGTGTGCTGTGCGTCTTGCTGCTGCACATTCAAACAATTGGTTGAAAAAAGTGCTTTGCACTTGGAACGGGAGGTTTTTAGAATCTTCTACAAACCACGGTTAGTAGGGGTTTGCAATCTCAAAATATCCTTGGTTTAATTTGTCAGTGTTCACAATAGTAAACTGAGGCCCAGGCTACAGATGATTTAACACGTGTGTTCCCAAGAAATGCTGACAGAAGAGGGAATTGCCTGCCACCTGCCTCAACTGCCACTGAACAGTGCTCAGTTAAGCAGCTGTGTGTATCAGAAGCCAAATTCTACCCCCAATTTCTGATTATGCGATCCTTATGGTCTTCAGTGATTTGTCTGTGTGACAGTGAGAACTCTCCTTTACCAGGTGCTTTGCAAAATGTTTTGTGTTTGGCAAATGAGAGAGGAGCTGGCAATAGACCCAACCAGTATAACTGCTTAATCGCAGTAAATCCAGGTGCAAAACAAAAAGACCTCTGCTGTTAGAGGAAACAGTTACACGTGTGTTGCTATCAAAGGTCAGTGACCAAAGTCACCTCTAATGTGGTTCGGCCATTTTTCCCTTTCACTCTGCCAGCAGTTTGGCTATCGTAACGTGCTGGGAGGCCACACAGAAGCCCTGCTGAAGTCAAAGGAAGCATCATGCAGGGCTCTTGCCATGTCAATATTGCTGGTTGTCCTGCTGCAGAGCGTTGGGCTGTGCAGGTGCATTAAGCACATCGTACCCGAGGTAAAGCACACTGGCTGCTCCCAGCCATCTCCTTATTCTGTGTGCCTGAGCGTGGCCTCCAGGAGGCCTTGTTTCCTAGCCTTCCAGGAACTGAGATCAGCCCAGCCAGTTTGTAGCTCTCCAGAAGCAGCCATCAACTGCAGCCAGTGAGCAGGATATCTGCAAAAACAGCCTGACATTTAGGATAAGACTCTGAAATAGTATGCCAAAATTATATTTGCGTTATTCCAGTCTGTTTGCAAAGCAGGCTAAACTGCCTTGAAATTTCTCAAAATTATAACAAAATTATATCAAGTATTTTGGGATGCATATTGTAAGTGATAATTAGTATTTACTCATGAAATTCAATTAATTTTACAGAGACTGATAAATTTTCCCAGTGCTGTTATGAAATAGATATTTTATTCTCCTTCCACAGCTGCCCTTCCTTGTACTACCATCACTTGATACTGGGATGAAAAAAATCCCAGCTCTCAAGGCAGCTAAACTATACAGTCTCAGAGCGGAAATGTTCTTGACAATTTCCTTGATTGCTACAGTGTGTCTTGGTGATGGAAAGATTGCACCCTCAGATCCCTCATCAGGGACGTGCGGGTATGAGTTGTGTAGCTCATTCCGATGCCTGCTTCAGATTTTCCTGCACGATATTCCTACAGTAAATGTTTTCATCTTGTGCAGAGGCCCTTCGGAGCAAGCGCGCTTCCTGCAGTAGATGTTTTGCTGTGAGGGCTGTGGCGATTGCGTATTTCAAAAAGGTACATCAAACCTCAGAGAGGCACTATTTTACTAACCGCAGAATCATTCATTGATAACCCACGGTGTCTGTGAGTGAAAGCTGTGATTAACATTCCACCTGGGTAGATACTCATGTAGCAAAACATCTGTAGTGATTATACTGCTGTAATGAACTAATTTACACGTTGCAAGTTCTTCTCTGTGCCTGACCTACAAAAGATGTGATCTGTCACAGCTACAGAGCTTTGGAAGAAAGTTGCCGAAAACATCTGCACGGGTTTGAACAGAAAGTTGGTCTCAGTTTAAGGTTGGGAACAAAATCTGGTGACACGAATATGGTTGTGACAAGGTGTGTAAGCATACACCAAAGGAAAATTAACTTCGAGTTACGTCTTGCCATTCCATCTAATGATTCAGCAGGCATGTCTACCCGTGTAGTAACCCGTACAAGAAGTGAGTCTTTTCTCATCTTTTTGTTCGTCAGTAAATAGTGACTTCTTTGTGGCTCATGCATGACTTCTTTCTTTTCAAAGTTTTCCACTTTCTTATTTCTATAGGTAGAACAATGCACAGAAGTTTGAGGCATTGTATTTTTGGGAAACAACTGAAGATATTGAGAAGAATTGTTGTTTTTGCAACACAAATGGAGAGAAAATACCCTACGTATGGGGAATTGTTTATGTTCCCAATGAAAGCATAGTATAGAAGCATTCAGATTCATTTCTAATGTGTTTCAGATTTTAGGAAACATTTCTCCAGTACTCGTGTTGCCTTATCTATATATTATGAACATAAGGAAGAGGGCAGTCTATCATGGCGTTCCTCTCTATCTGACCTTATGACAACATTAAAAACAAGATAAGCAAATCCAGGCTCTAACGTGTTTCAGTACTGAGAACCTTGGTCTGTTGCAAAGTCTGCACCCATTATAGCAGATTTTTTTTGCTGAAGCTGAGCCTCTTTTCACGTTTATTCCAGAGAACGTAAAGTGATGAAAGTTCTGTTTCTTCAACTAGGTGTCTACATGGCTGTGTTTACTCTGTTTTGCTTATCAGCTGAACTGGTCGTCACACACAGGTTATACGGCCTTCATGCTACTATCCAGGACAGTGTTACCTTTCTGCACTCCGATTCATTAATCTATTTCTGTGGATATTATTTTCATGCTTACTTTTTGAATACTCACACGTCAGTTCACCATCTCCTTTGCCTGGAGCCTAGGGGTGAAGGTCCAAGCACAAGCAGGACGTCATCAGCGTATCAGTTTTATTTTTATATTATCCAGGATGCCTGCCTGCACGCCTACCTGTGCGACCCACTGTAGGGAACTGCTTTGGCAGGGGGTTGGACTCGATGATCTCTGGAGGTCCCTTCCAACCCCTACAGTTCTGTGATTCTGTGATTTTCCCTGCTGTGCCACAGCAGAGCACCTTGCATAAACTTTACTGTTTACCTTTGAAGTGCGGCGTTATCTGACATGTAAGCCTGGCTCATTTGTTAGTCACAATCTATCTGTGGCTCTTTGGTGTTTCAGTGACTGTATGATCCATTTCTGCTGTGCCCAGCATTTCAACCACATCCACTGCAACACAGCATGGTATCATTTCGTGATGCTGTGAGGAAAGCACTGTATAGAATAACCCTGACAAAGTTTTTAACATTATAGCAATAATTGCATGTATCTCTTGTCATACACAGAGATGTTTTCTGTTTCCAATTTTTAAAATCAATACATAGAAATTACACTTATTGAAAGGATAAATATACTTAATTTTTATACTTTTATTTAATATTTTTTAGCATATGATTCCTTATTTCTTCAAAATGTTTTCTAAATTGAAGGCTTTATCAATAACATGTAAATTCCAATTAAAAGTATTGTAAAGCAGTGCAGAGATAATAACATCTGCTCCTCAGTCTAGTTGGGTGTGCACTTTTTATGCAGAAGACGTGCACAGTTACCATGCAGATGCAGAGGTGCATTACAGCTGAACGTGTAGATCAGGCCATCATAGGTTCCTGTAGCTAACTAGAATAATTTGGGTGCATAAGTACCTGATTTGCATAGGAAACTGCTGCAAAAGCACACAAAGATATTTTAAATCAGATAAATCGTTTGTCAATCTTACAGATACGTTTCTAAGCAAATTGCAGATGGAAGTAAGCTAAATTTGACATTCTCTTTGCAAGCCTTTGTTGTACTTCAGCGTCCCTTTTTCACTCATACCTACAGCCTTCACAAATTACACTTTAAAATAAAATGAAAGAAAGCATGCAGACTGTTAGAGGAAGTGATATAAGGGTACTTCACAAATTTGTTCATCAAAGTGAAAAAAGCAACTACAGTATAAAAGTTTATCAGCATAAAGGTTGAGAAAAGCGGACCCAGGCGTATTAGTAGGAGGCAGCAGTATTAAAGAAGGGGAGCAGAAACTAACATCCGTGTATTCTTAATCCGTGGTTATCCAAGATTTGGATTAAGCTGCCTTCTGGAGGCCCTTTTTGTATTGGAGTATTTACCTTTGGTCGTGGTGATTCTACTTTTAATGAGTTCATATTTGAGAAAAGACCAAGAAAACCTTTCCGCTGAGGATTTCAGCAGAACTGCTGCTGAGTCAAAAACACAGTTAAAGCAAAGCAAATTGCTGCCTTTATAATTCTTTAAATTCCTTTGCTAATTATAGTAATGTGTAAACATGCATGCTATTACTGCTGACACTATCCAACACCCCTTCTAAGTTCTCCTCACTTTGTTTCTTTTCACTTAAAATAATAAAGCATTGCTGACAACACTGTGTGACATTGCTTGCATTTTTTGTGATCATATCCAGCGAAGCCTGGTTTCACTGCATTCAGCCTAATATTAAAAGATGTCCTCGTTATTTCATGCTTTTGTAATTTATTGTTAATACACAGCCCACAGAAACTTAGTATTTGCTTCTAAGTTAAGAGTTTCCTCTAAATCACTTTAATCCAAATGTATTTGTTGTCCATTGTAGAATCACCAAAAGTGCTTTAAAGTTCAGCATTTACAGCAGAAATCTGTTGCTCAAGATATGTAAAACATTAGGGAAATGTTCCCTCTGTCCTGCCTATGCTGCAGCATTCTGAACAGCTTTAGTGTTAAATAAGATACAAGTACCTTCGTGTTCTGTTTTCATGGCTCCGTGAAAATTCAAATCCCTTTGTATTTTTCATTAGAGATAAAGGAAAAGAAAACCATGTGTTCAGTACAGCTTGTGGCTGTTACAGGGAAAACTTATCAACAGTTACTGACTTTGTAATCATTGCATACACTGTTGACATAACATGTTTTTGTTCCTCACAGGTGCAACAGTGAGCTGTCAAAGACTGCCTTGCTTCTTCTCCAGAACAACCATAGACTTTACAACTGAAATTACTGGGAAGCTGATGGGGATTTGTAATACATGTGCTAAGGTAAGTGAGAATCCTGGCCACGTGAAAGACAATCTTTAGTTGGATGTCTTTTCTAAGCAAAAATATCTTCCCAAACAAATATTTATCCCTTAAGAAGAAAATGAATGCCCCTGTCCTGACTGTCTATTTAACTAACAGATCTGCTCCAGTCCTTAATAAACTGACCATCTATTACCCTATTGAAATCAGCAATGTTTTACAAAAAAACAGAGCTGCTTTGAAGCTATTGCTTTGGCAAAAATGATTGTAAATGCCACAGTGATGCCATATTTTTTTAAGTTTAGAATATTTATTATTACTGGAAAATTCCAATTCTATTTTAGATTAGGAAAGTTTTAACTATTATTCTTCAGTAACATCATGGATGTTACTGGTCTAACCAGAAGGCTTAGGAATTAAAATGGATGTGCGCTGGGATTGCTGGCAGCTTATAAGAAAGTGGTCCAGATGGAGAATTTTTCTTTCTCATAGGAAGGAATATTGAAGCTTCCCAGTGGCCAGGAGGTGGTCATTCATAATGCCCTGCGACTGCAAAAGAATGTGCCATGATCAGTCCGTGCACAGATACTCACACACCCTACTGAAATTACACGTTTGGCATGTTCTTAGAATGAAACTTTCTGAATGCAATTATTCTTATTAGTTGTGCTGTGATTCAGTTTTATGCTACTTAGTAATGAAATGCTTCAGTGCAATTTGGCTATTCTTCATAGCATATCTCATGAGAAAACAGTGACCTTAGCTTGCCTTTCTACCGCCTTTTTTCCTCTGGAAAAAATCAGCCATAATTAATATAATGTTACACAGAAGGGATGGTAAAGAAGGACCACTTGGAGACATTGGCTGTCACAGTAGGTATTTTCCAGTAAAGGCACTGAAAATTTTAAGTGGAAGGAAAAAAAAAATAAATTTCAGTGAAGAGCAAACATAGAGAGAGAAGACAGTGTGGTGGGATGCTGTTAGTGCTGGGATGCTACACGACTTAGATGAGAAAGGGGAGGATTAGCAAAAAAATAAAAGGCTGCAGAGGCAAATAAAGTTGGCTGCCTGGAGAAGTGGGATAAAGGTAAAGCAATACTTCGGTGTGTTGGAGAAGGGAAATTCTGGGCTTATGTTTACTGTAATTCCATTGCCTTCCAGAAATATTTCCCAGCATTCTTCTCAAAGAACAAACTAGGGTAGAAGAACAACAAAAAAGGTTTTGTGATTGCATTCATCTGAATTTGAAAATCTAGAAAATCTAGATTTTCCAATAGTGTAAATTGTCTGAAATGTTATTGAAAATGGGACCATAATTTGATGGCACCGTGAAGAAAGTGAGGCTAACTCCCTTAGTACATCACTGTGCATTTCTATAGTTAACATAATTTTACTAGACTATTTAGAGATAATTACATGGAGTGTAAAACAACGTTCTTTGCCCATGTGGACATTCAACACTGAAATCTCTAAATGACAGAGGCAGTAAAACGTTTCATTCTGAAGTATTTCATTCTGAAATTCTTTAGTTAATCTGTAATCATCAACAGTGAAGAAAATAGTAGAGAGAATGTCTGTTCATTTCTGGATAAGTCACAAATGGTCAGCGCTGAGCGGCAGAGATGTGTCCTATGCTTTGTTCTGTCAGTAGTGCATCTTCTGGGCAAACCATTTACACTCTTCTGTAAATTTTTGCAAACATTTATGGCAGCTGCATTATTAACTCCTGTTTTTGAAGTTTGTTTGTATTTATTTTTTAGTAGATGTCACAACAAAAATAATAAGAACAAATGTTGGAAAAATTAGAAAATCAGTAGTGAAGTTCTAGGTGACTGTGACAGAATAATCTACTTGGTCTGTCATTTTTATCAAGTTAATGTTCACTCATACTCTACTGGCTCCTGTGCTTTCGCAGACCTTGGTTTCAGTTCCATTGTTTGTTCAGAGCATTTGGTGCCCTCAGCAACAGCACTGTGTTTATGTATATCATTAGAAAAAGGTAGGCTTCAGCTTGTGGCATTTCTTGGCCAGGTTAGAAAAAAAAATGCTTTGGAAAGTGTGCATTTTCTGCATCTCTCTGCTGTATTTTCTGCATCCATTCTGAATAGGAAATTAAGCAAATTTTGTTAAATTAATGTATGTTGCTTAAAAATGTGTGAAGACTGAAACTGATTGTTTTCAGAGCTGTCTTTGAAAAAAGGGAGTCGAATTTTATTCAAAGACAAAAAAGTAGCATTTAACACTGATGTATTTCATGCAGGGAAAACTTGCATTGGCTGCAGGTAGAGCTGCTCTGCAATGAGATCCCAGGTAGGCAGCGGCGTGCTGAGAGGTTTCACAGTTTGGTAAATTATTGCATGATTGAAGAAACGTGGAACATAGTGGTCTCAGGAGATGGCAAAACATTATTTCCATAGTCTTTGCCCTTTATTTGACATAAGTACTCACCTTGGCTCATCCAGTAATGTCATGGAAGTTGAGCTGGGAACAAAGCGTGGGACTGGTGACAAAAATTGTGAGATTCCGTTTTTTGCTACTTTAATGTACGATTAGAAATTGATAATCCTTATTTGGGATTGGGAAGAATTTCTAATTGAGACTGATTTACTAAACCTTAAAAAATGGGAATGAACATCTCTTTGATTCATTTACAGAATCCCAGTAGATTTCCATTTGGCCTGGAGAGTTTTCTGTCCCCATTTTCAGACTTCATTGTATTATCTGTATTCACTTCTTTATCTTATATGGCAGCCTTTTCATTATTAAGCAGGCTCAGTGAAGGATACACTAAATTAGAACATTTCTGTCTTTTTACAGCGTAAGACAGCACAGAGTCTCTCCTAAGCTTTCTGGTGTACTGGTACAGCAGAAGATATACATGAGCTGTATCTAACATCTAATCTGTAGTTATCTTCTGAAATGCTGCATTTTCAGAGCTACTCTCTTACTTTTCAGGAACAAACAAACAACTTATATCTGTTAAGAATGTCTTCAGGAGGATGTAACAGCCAAAGATCCTGACAAGTCAGGAGAGAAGGACTTGAGTCATATAATAAGGAGTTTGAGTTACTTGTGACCGTTTATATCTCAAGACTTAGAATTTGTCAGGCTGATGGTATGCAGCACAGATAAAAAGAAAGGCCTTTTTTTGGCACTAATTTGGCAATATAACCTTAATTTTAAAAAAATATATCAAAAATGGGGAGGGTGGAGGAATGGGCAACTGATTGGCATGTTGTGCCAGGGTAATTAACTTAGACATGGCTGCTAAAAATTGAATCACGGTAAGGCAGAAATAACCAGCATGGGAGTCTGGACAAACAGCTGTAGCAGATCAGTAGTTTTTTCTGTAAAACTCACCTTTCTGTAGGCAATTGCAGATCTGCATGAACAGCATTTGCAGCTGATAAATGCCTGTCTAAGAGCTCGATTCTGAAGCTCAAATAAATGCAGTTGCATCAAGCACTTGTCACAGAGGCCATTGCAGCAAACAGGAGAAAGTTAAGCACCACAGAGACTACCAAGAATTACTTCAGTGAGTTGGAAAGTAAAATTAAGAACAAGAAAAAACATTTGGAAGAAGTTGGGAAAAGTGGTTTGATTGTTGGAGTGCCTGATGTCCTTGAACAGACCTCTACTCTCCCCATCTCTACCTTCTCTGTCCCCTGATGCAGTGGATACTTTCGCCTTTTATTGTAATGTGTACAGAACTGGGCTTTATGTACTAGCGTAGCTTTCAGAAACATTCTTTGAATGTAGAGAAAGATCCTTAGGCAATTCCAGCAACATAGATTTTATTTTCATTTTCTGGAGAGAAGAAGAGAAAGCACTGAAAGCACTGATGATAACATTTCATATTAAAAAAAAAAAATAAAAAAAGTCATGTAATATATTTTAAATGTCTAAGAACGAATATTCAAGGAAAACCAAAAATCCTTTCACCTTGAATCTCAGACACAGTCTCTGGATCTGTAACCTGCCAGTTTCTTTTGTGTTCACAGGCAGGTACCTTTTTCAAGCTGCCATTTTTAGTTTCGGTTGTTTTTCTCATAAGGGAATCCTTCCATGCTCCAGGTTAATTATGTTTCTCTCCTCTCAAGTTTCTTTACTACCTAGAAATTTAAGCTAATGCAGTCTATTTTAGGCTTTTAGAAGTGCTCAGTGCTATGATATCTGTGCACTAATCTGCACAGATTATACAAATCAGGGATCATCCTAGCACATAGTATCTTTTGGCTGGCCTGAACAGTTGTCTCAGAGTAGTACTGCATTGTGCTATGCAGAATGTGTACATTTTAATGAGATGAGTTAATCCCTGTATTCTTGGAAAAGACCTTGATAGTATTATCTGACTTTACTTACAATACTGTTTGTATTAGAGCACACAGAGCTATTCTTGGTCTGCCAGATCAGTTAAAGAAAAACAGCCTCTTACAGACAACTAATATTTAATTATTTACAAGCTACTAATCAGTCACTGCAGTGAGTTCAGAAACTAGAAATGACTGCTGCATTTGCTGAAGGCACTGAAACGAAGAGCAGTGGTGACATGGTGAGGTCCTAAGAAAGAACTCGCTGGCATTTTCCAGTTGCAGAGTCTCAGTAGCACTCAGCTCCAGCTTGGGTCAGTATTAGCAGTGACAGCCAAGTGACTGAGCTGCACACATTACTAAATAATGCCAAATGTCAGAGTTTTCTAAAGAATCCCTTGCCTGCAGTTGCTGTCATCCTTGTCCGTAGTGCAGCCTTCAAAGTTCGTTAGCTGACAGCAACGAGTATTTCACCGACTCCTAGGAAAACAGCTCCTAGTTGTAGTTGTTCTGCAGCCCTTTTTCCGGTTGAACTCCATCAAATTTCACTTTCAAAATAATTAACCTGGACTTGCAGGGAAGGTCTGTAGCCTGGATTTGTACTTGGGAGCAACAGGAACTCCTGCCTGAATCTAGACATATAATAACTGCAGGTTATCAGTATTCTTAATGGAAGATAGACAGAGATTTGGACTTTAGAAGAGCATTGTA